GCCGAAGTGTAAATCGAAGTGTAAACGAATCCGACCGTTTTGTCGTAATGCAACACGTCTATATTTAAATAGAAAGCCGCCGTACGCGGTGTGGCCAAGTGCCATTCCGTTCGCGATGTATCACTTGTCGCTGATATTATGTTTCTCCCTTTGATACAGAGAAAAGGCTGACGAAGGACGTGCCCGATCGCAGCGAATACGTAATCGTGTCACGGGATCGGTGTAACTCGATTACGAGGCTTCGCGGCGTAAAAGAATCCCGGTGATGAAACTGCGGAACACGGGCGTATCCCAGGCTCGTTTCGCGTCGATTGTAATCTGGTGCGACCACGGATTCGCGCTGCGCTCGTCCCGTCCCGTCATCGCGTCTCGTGATCTTCCCTTCTGCTCTTGGAATAAGACACGAAAAACAGTCCCGCTGACGTAATTTCGACGCTTCTCGGTAGCATGACGAAACTTGGTGTAATCTCCGATAAACTAACCGGCGGCGGCGATAACGCGACCGTAATTTTTAATGTTTTTTTTAAATTCTTTGCCCATTCATCGACGGACTGTCTTATTCGTCCGGGCGGCTGGCACGCGGTCCAGCTAAAGGCTGAATCAGACTAGCAATCGCTGCAGACTCGTATTGTATTGGGATTGGCGATTAACGACTGTCTTCTAGCCAATGAGATTAAGTAGCTGGCTGCTTCGCTCTCATTCGCTAAAGGACAATCGTCAGTCGCCAATTCCAATTGAATCCGAGTCAACAGTTGCTGGTCTGATTCGGTCTTAACGCGATGCAGCGACCGGAGAGATCGATAACGCGTAAGCAACGCGGTGTTCCCCTCCTCTGCGGCAGCGGTAGATCATAAATTATTTGTTAAACGAAAATAAGTAAAACGAGAAGAGAACGTGCGAGCCCTTCGATATCGATCACAGCGAAACGATAACTTCAGGATTGTCTCAGAGCTCGATGCAGACTCTAATGTAGCCAACACGCTGTTCCCAGGCGTGTTAGCAAAATTCACATCCGCGTAGGGTTTTTGGAGGTTGGTGAACTCTACGAACTATGGTCCAGCCGCGTGTCGCAGTCCTCTTTCCGTCGTCGTCTTCGCGATGGCGCCTTTCTCCTCCTCCTCCTCCTCCCCCATCCGTACTTCATTTTGTATACGCAAGTCGAAAAACAATCACGCTCGCGAGGCGCCTAGTATTTTTTTTATAGGCGCCTCGCTCGCTCCGATAACATGGTAGACGATAACGTCCGGGGGCTAATCCGCGCCAATAAATGCTGGGACTTTGCACTCATCCGACGCACACTGTCCGCTACTATCGTTCCCTTACGGCCACGATTCACGAATTCTTCTCCGATCGTTGCATCATCGCGAAATCACGACAAGTTTCTGACGCTTGCGTCGAGCTGAACGGGGGAAAAAGAATAACAACTGCAGGAAAGCGAGAAGTAGAGAACGTATAATATCGAGTCACCGTTTAACGGGTCGCGATTACAAATTGGGACATGACAACATGTCGCCGCGATAGCGTAAAACGAAAGACGTGGCCAGTAACTTCTCCTTTGCCGAGATCGCGATATGGTCCCGCGATAAACAGTACTGTGTCGGGATAAAATTGGCTACGCAGTGGCTAGATCCGTGGTGCAGTGTTACGAAAAAATTGGATCGGGATTTTATCGGGCGTGTTAAAGGGTAAATAAGTCCGTCCGGGATTCCTGAGCCGAATTAGACATGCTGGACCGAAATGTGGTGCTTGTGCTGCGCACGAGGCAGGAGAGAACCGAGAGGCGTTTGAGGCACAAGAAGGAGGCGAATCCACCGCCGATGGAGCCGCCGGCGCTTCTGCTAAACAATAACCACCTGTACCTCGATCTTAACATGAATTTCAGCGAGAATTGCAAGCAGGAGGCGGCTAGAGTCGCGAGAAAGGTGGGTCTGGTTTCTCTCGTGACACGCGCGAGTCGCGTAGATTTCGGTCGCGCTTTAACTAGATACCCGCGTGAACCAGCTGTTAAGTCGCGTTTATTGAAGACACCTTTCACCCATCGATTACGCGACCCGTGTGCGCACTCGACGTACGCATCGTAACGCGATTTCTCACGAAATCATTGCCCCCGCTGTGTGGGAGAGGTGCATCTTCTTTTCCACCGCAAGTTGGTATAATTATCGAGAGATACTTTCTCCGACTTGCTTGGCTGGAACGCTACTATCGCAATGAGATCTGTCTTTGGCGGTGTGCGGGATGTTACAATTAGATTAGATGTATAATTCGTCACTAACTACCGGAACGTCGATTTTACTCGCGACGTAATGCGTTACGTCGATGGGAAGTGAAGAAGGCTCCTTCCCGTTCGCGTTCTCCGAAGGAATCATGTGCGTGCTGTAGAATTTCATTTTCTTACGGCCAGTATCGTTGATTTGTATTCCCCGGTTTTTACTTGCGTCTGTGTTTCATCTTCCGATTCGACATTTTGGAGAAACTCGTAATCACGACGCCTCGTGTCAGAAGGGGTCTAAAAATAACACTCTAAATAATAAGTGTTTGAAATTCAAACACTTTCGTTGTCGCCGTTTTTAAGATGTTTATTAGTGTTTGAAATTTCAAACACTTTCGTTGTCGCCGTTTTCAAGATGTTTATTAGTGTTTGAAATTTCAAAGTGTTTTAAATTCAAACACTTTCGGTTTAAATTCAAACACTGTCGCGTTTTTAAGATGTTTATTAGTGTTTGAAATTTCAAACACTTTCGTTGTAGTCAAACACTAATAAACATCTTGAAAACGGCGACACGAA